CTTCGGTTGTGCGAAATGGGTTTTGTCCACCTACGGAACTGTTGCCAGTGGAAACACCATGGAACGAAAGAGCAACGGTTTTGAGGACCACCTTCACTAGTTGACTGAGCCGACCACAATGAGGATACACAGTGATTGGTAGACTGTTGCTTCGTGAGTGTTGTAACTTAAATGGTGGAGAAACAGCGGAAGAGTCGTTCGAAGAAAAACAACTGGTTTGAGGTGGGGAGCTGAATGTTCCGTCGGCCTAAAAGGTTCAAGGTCCAACCCAAGAAAATCATACCTCAGTTGCCCACTTTGAACTCACAAATAGGTGATCGATCACCTTTTGGGGCCAATAATGGAGCAAACAAGGAAAACCGAAAGGTACAAAGGTCGGGGTTGGGCAAGAAAAGACAGAACAACCATGAACAACATTCACAAGTTCGCAACTCACTCGCCATGGGACAAAGCATGCAGCTTGGACATTTGCTTGTGCTTTCTTTGTACGCAAATTACCCCAAAAACACTCAAATTCACGTCGCATTAAAGCTCCAAGCTTACTAGTACCAGCTTCATTTATTTGTTGTGTGTGCATCGCTTGTATGCTAATTGCACCGTATCCATGAACTTACCGTGCTCTACTGCCAGAGCAAGACAAAAAACAAAAACCAAACAACAAATCGATGACCTAGAGTCTCCATGACCCTTTAAAAATGGGGGTCATCAACTCATGGACCTATTTCTAAAGGGTCAGAAGGAGACTCAAAAGGGCAGAGACGAAAGAAACCGCCACCGCACAAACCCTTCAGCGTCAACCCGGACGCCCGGCGCACCGCCGTGCCCGATCCGACTGTACCCTCCCATTGATGGCTGTGGCTCAAAAGATCGGAATTCCAAAATGGAACCCGATCGGTAAGTGGAAACAAGGAGCAAAACCTGCGGTTTGCCCCTCCTGCTTACTTTTGAGCCAGGAACCTCATAGGGAAATGGTCCCTTCAAAAGGAACATTGTCTTCCAGGACCCTGCCCGTCCTTGTCTTCGTACATGATCTCCATAAAGGGCAAGGCCTGCGTCCGGCGCGATTTAGTTGAAAAGAACGCTGGTTGGTGGTATACTGGTTGGAAACCCGTTGCAACTGGATTCTACAGTGGCCTCAAATGTGTGGCAAGGACTATATAGGGTAGACAATACACAATGTCATCCTCATGTAATCCGCGAAGCCCGCTAAGGAACACTATATGTGTTTGCGGTGTTTTACGGCCATTTGGCTCATGTCCTGTAGGGTATGTGGCTGGTTTCTACGGAACATCAAAGGGTCATTGAAAACGAGATCTCCTTACCAAGAGACAAGGGAGTTTTAGGGCCCCAGCTGTGCCAGAAAAGGGAAAGGCAATGCCATACACGGCCATGAATGAAGGCAAACAAAACAAAAGGTGAGGAAACACATCCTGATGCGTCTAGTGGGAAGTAGATGGCACACATTTAACGTTTGTGGTGCTTAACTCACCGAAAGCGTCGCAGGAGCTAATCAGGTTGCTCCAAGAACAGCTTCCCATGGATCATTCTTTGTCTGTGGGTCACACATACTGTGGATGGACAAAATCTGTTCGCACCACTTTCATACCATGGGAAACCAGTATTTGCTGTATCTACAGGGGAATGATCATTCCAGGGTGTCTTTGGTGGTGCGAAATGGTATTCGTCCATCCACTGTAGTTGCCCAATATGGAACTCTGGCATCCTTGTCTCATTTCCTGAGTGGACCTGGCCACAAAAAGTCCAAGCTTTGGGGGGGCCCAATGAGTCTTCCTAAAAAGTGTAAAGTTGAGGAACTCATGAAGTGAGTCTTTTGGTTGGTTGAGTTCACAGAGGGACGCTTCCCCAAACAAAGGGGTTGAACAAAAAACAGGCGGAATTGTATTGGTTGTAACTGGACAACATTGAACTTGCCCGAATTTCCTGAAACAGCCAACCAACTCTCGATCAAACAGGACCCGAGTTTGTTTGAAGAGAATCGGAGCCGACTCACTGGGTGACCCTAGAAAAACTTCTTGTTGGTAATGACTCCCATTGCTTCAAGGCTCAAAAGGAGACTCCAGGCACCCTGTTCTGTAGTGCGCAAGCCCTTCAATGAGTGGAGCAGAAGCCCAATTTGCAGACTGGGAGCCAAAACCAAGAACAAAACAGAACACAGCATCCACATGGACATTTGAAACGCTGTCTGTCCGTTTTCAGATCCCCTGCGAAAATTCACTAACTCGTGGGTTGAATGGAAGCTCAGCCATTAAACCAACACCTAAAGACCAAAGGAGATGATGGGAACTGCCAAGAACCCACTGGCGGGGATCTAATTTCTGGATGCATCGTTTTCCATGCAGGTTTTCCATGCACGTCCCTCTCAACGCTGCGCCTCCCAGCGGAAGCGGTGCTCAAAGTGAAGCCAGGCGCGGAGAACGAAGATCAAGCAGGTGACGCTGATGGCCTCAAGTTGCAACAGCGGACTGCCATGACCAGAACTCCAGGTAGCCCTGAAAGGCTCCCTTAATGATGTTGACCCAGGATTAATAAACCCGTCCCAGGGGGGTGTTCCCTCCAAAAGTGATAAATCCTGTTAATCAACCAGAGGTCTATTCTTCCGGGTTAACATTATAGGCAAATTCGGATCGCGCCAACTCCTTGGCTCCCTTCCAACCAGCTAGTGGGTCCCAGCGTCTAAGCCAGTGGTTTAGACGGCGATTTTGGCCGCTTCAGTCTCCAAGACTGGTGGATTTCCATGGGGAATTAGAACGAAGCGGGGCACTCTCCAAATAGCCCCAGAGCCCTCTAGAACTCTGCGGAACCTTCCGCCAAGAAACAAAAACTTACGTAGGGCGCGATATACACAAATGGGCATGTCTCAAAATAAGCGACCCCTATATGGCTGGTTTTTCGTTGGTGTCCCTTTACATGCCGACCAAAAAGGGGTCCGCCAATTTGAGAAACTTTGGATGCTCTTGAGGGCCCACTTTCGAGTGGCGATTGTCCTTCGCGAATCCCATTTAAAACCAACCAAAAAGGGCTTGTATTTGGTGGTTTTTCATTTAAAGCCAAACCAAAAAGGGTTTGCATTTTGTTTCCATCTGAAACCAACCAAAAAGGGTTTGTATTTTGTGTTTTCTCATGTAAACCCAAGCCAAAACAGCGTTTGCATTTTTGCGTTTTTTTCATGTAAACCCACACCAACAAGGGATTGCTTTCTCGTTGTTCATTCAGAAACCCACCAAAACAGGGTGTGGTTTCTTCGTTTTTTATTTCAAACCAAAAAAGGGTGTGATTTTCACTTTTCAGTTAAAACCAACCAAAACCGGGGGGGCGGGGGGGCCCCTTAAAAGCCACGGCCCCCTCGCCAAGGAGCCGCTGGCACGAAGGTCGGGGCCCGGTCCAGAAAGACGCCGGTCATCAGGATGCAGTAGAGCACCGTTCCCGCCAAGACGTGCTTCCTCGTGTTTCGCTATATATATATGTGCACATATATATATATATGTATATTCAAGATTGATGATTTTACGGTTATGTTATAGTTTACTAGTATTGCCATTATTACCAGCAAAAGTATCAATATTGTTAGCATCATTATTATCACCATTATCATTATCATTCTCATCACTTTTGTTGTTGTCATCATTACCACTATCATTGTTATTACTTTAACTATCAGTTTAAATATCATTATATGTATTAAGTTTATCATTATTATAATGATCCTTACTAGCATCATTTCTATTGATCATCATCATCATCATCATCATCATCATGATCATGATCATGATCATCATCAACGGCATCATCATCATCCTCATCATTGTAACTATATGTTTACCTACTATTATTAACATTACTATCATTATTATCGCTCTATGTGTTGTTATTATAATTGTGATGGCTGCTGGTCTAACAAACCCCAACATAGTTTGCCCTCGCATATGGAAACATTGACTAACATCAGCGGTGCACTGCCTGGTGGTGCTATTTTGGCCCATAATTACCCCTATTCAGTTGTATGGTGCCTTGTTTTTTTTTTTTTTTAATAAACTCTGAGACACCAACAACACCAAACAACAACTACAGGTTTGGACAAAACAAACATGTGCATTGATTGTAATGACAACTATAGGTCTGGACAAAATTGCCGCTCCTGTGATGGTTTCTCTTTTGGGTATACCTGAACAACCATTTCCGATTTGCTTAAGCTCCTTGGACAAAATAAACAGCCCAGTCGGCATGGATTCCCTTTTGCGGTTTTGGGCGGAAAGGGCGTTGCCCAGGGAATCAAAAGGGCTCACGTAATCCACGAAGAACCCAAAGAACCCGGACTCACGACTCAGTGGACTGAAGCCGGTGACCAGGTTGAAGGACGTGATGATTGAAGAAGAGGTGGTTGAAGTGAAGGTTAAACAGCAAGTTGCAAAAGATCACCTTAACCAGGCCCAGGCAAGTCCTGCCGCAGCACCACCTACCTCCTAGCACCAGCCCACCCCAGCGCCGAGAGTCCTTTCTCGGCGACGCAGCGAGATGCCGTGCTATGGCGAGTGCCGTGCTACCAAAACTAACCTGACGGGAGGTTAAACTTGAGCCAAACGGCCATTCGGCCGCTTTGCCATATGATGAAACAACACGTGAACAAAACACACCCCCCTCATCCGATATCAGGACGAGAGAAAGGATGCGAGACAGTTGAGTTCACGACGAAAGGGACCAACCAAAAATGCCGGTGTCAACTCAGAGGTGAGCCAAACGGCATCACCTGGGCCCCAGTTAAAATCCCGCCACCACCCCGAATTATCGGGGCGACAGGATTATTTGACGAGTGGACCACATGAGTGAACAAAGACATATTGGAGGAACCAGACGAAGATTCCTCTCGTGCCGTTCATGAGTCGTCATGGGACGAAGCCATGCGGAGGGGGATCCTATCTGGATCACCGCGCCTCACTGCACGCCGTGGAGCGGTTGGAAGAGTAGTCGAGTTGGGAGGAAATTAGAAACGGAAGTTCCGAAATTGGTGTGAAAATAACTGGCAATGGCCGGCCCGGCACTTCTAGTGCGGTCACAGCCTCACACAGGATCGCCAGGGGAACCGTCTCCGGCGCGCACGGCAGCGGTGCGGGAGGGACACGAGCAACGCCGGATCAGCGGTACAGGGCAATGGAGATCATCACCCCCAGCAGCGCTGCACGGGCGAGAGGAGGACCGGCGCGGTCGCGTTTGTCGGCGACACACGTACTATCCTCGCCCTTCTAAGGCGGATGCTGATTGCGGCACCCGTCTACCGGCGGATGCCGGCACCCGTCTACCACCCTGAACCAGGCTCTTCCCGGTCCCTGGGCGCGTCGTCTCTTCGGCGTCCACCACGGTCACCTCGATCACCTCCTCCATCCCGACGGCGATCCTCACCACCACCCCTATTGTGGTCGCCAGCCGGAGGTCGGCGAGGCGGAGGGGGATCTGATTGGTGACGTCGGTCATCCCTGCGCCGGTCCCGGTGGCGATCGCGACGGTCATCGCCCGGGTCATCACGTCCGCGGCGCTCATCTCGCCCCGGGCCGCGCCTCTCGGAGGTCTCCTCATGACGTGGAGGAGGTCGGCGATCATCGCGTCGGCCTCCGCGGGTGTCCCTGCCACGATCATCCCTTTGTCGGGGCGGGCCGGGATCCTCACGTCCTCCTTTGCCAGGTCGATGTTTTCCTCGACCCTTCCCCTCACCCTTAGGACCACGACGATCCTCGCGGGCCCCAAGCGCGGTCCTTGACCGATCGTCATCTCGTCGGGGCCGCGACTCATCTGCCGCACGAGTGGTCCGAGGCACACCCGGGGGAAGCTCCCACTCGTCGTTGTCGTCATCACGCGGGTCATAGCCGCGATGGCCGCCCAAGGAACCGGTGGCATCCCGTGGTGGGGACGCAGGAGTTCCGGGACCGCCCGATCGAAGACGAACTCGGGGAGTCGCGTCCTCGCCGGTAAAAGGATCCTTCTGGGTGTAGAAACCCTTAGTCCTGCCCCTTCTCTCCCCACCTTCCACACCGCTTCTCGCGGGGACCGGGGATGGGCGGGCAGGCTGGGCCATGCTCTTAGAGCTGGGTTGCCCGCTAGGCGGGACCTGAACGCCCCCCTGCCCTTTTTCGGGCGCGGGGACCCGACCGCGAGATGTCCTTCTGGCCTTGGGTTGGTCGGACTCACCCTCCAGCTCGGACTCGGTGTCAGGGACACGAGTATTGATGGCCATGTCCTCTTCCTCAAACGGATCCCCAGTCGTAGTAACGCCTGCCGCAATGGGAGCGGGAGGAGGAGGAGGAGGAGTTGGCACAGCATCGCCAGGAATGACGCCTGCGTGCGGCACCACGGGAGTCTCCGGTTCTACCGGGACAGGCGGCGCAGGAGGAGCCGGGGGCGGTGGCGGAGGGGGAGGGATCTCCTCCTCGTCGTCGCCCATGGGCTCGTCAAGGTCGTCAGGCTTCTCGTCATCTTCGTGCGAAGAACCATCCGATCCCAGCTCATCCTCCGCTGATCCAGCAAAGTCGGGCTCGTCTTCGTCCTTCACGCCGGGGCCTGGTGTAAGGCGAATTCCGGGTCGATGGCGATCGCGGGGTCGGAAGCGGTATTTCCTTGGTACAGGGTCGGATAGCTCCTGTTTGATGTCATCCTGGGTTTGAGGACGGTCGGCCAAGCAGGTGTCGTAGGCAACGGTGGACGTCCGGTAGATCAGATCGTCCATACTGCTGAGGTCGTTGAGGGTGTAGACATACCCCTTCTTAATGCCTTCCCGTATCGTGTCCATAGCCCGTTTGAGGCGCGCGGCAGGATCGAAACCGGCCCTTCTCCGCATGGCCTGCAATATCCCGCAGTGCTGTGCGAGCAGCCCCACCTGGAACTTGAATCCCTCCCCGGACACATCGTTGGGGAGTATCGGAGAAAGGTGTCCTGTTCTCAGCCCAATGATATGGGCCTCAAGAATGTAGTAGGACGTGTAGAAACCGCACCGGTTGGCGTTGAAGTTTGCGGTGGTTAGGCGTCTGCCCCACTCAGCCGCATATCCCTCATATTCTTCGAAGAATTCGGGGACGGAGCTCCCGTTGAAGGCCAGACCCCTTACCAGGATCGCCTTTGCTACCCACTCTTCCACGTTGTTGTCGACCGTGTCACGGTATTTGCCGTCAAGGACTTCGTCTCGGAGCGAGTCGTGAAGTTTCCGGAAAATGCCATCCACGTCCTCTTTGTCAAGGTACTTAGGAGGCCGCATCCCAGACATCAACAAGGACCGGGCATCGACGGCGGGACTCTGCGAGTAGAGGGCCATTCCGATGGCGTTGGCGTCTGAGTTGTTCCACAGAGCGGGGACGAAGCCCTCGTATTTTGCCAGCCAGGGAGGAACCAACCCGTCAGTGCTCGCTATCGTGCGAGGGCCGCCGTTCGTGTCTCCGGTGGGCAGGACGCCATCGTAGAAGATGGGAAGGTAGCAGGCGGTGCACAGGTGAGCGCCGACCGGATGGGCCGTCATGCACCTATGGCATGGAACGGACACCACCTCGCGGACATGTTCCGTCTTGGTGATCTGATGGTACTTCTCCATCTCGTCCCGACACTTCCTCGGGTTATCACTCAAGGAGTTGAGGAAGTTGGGCGGATAGCACCAAGGCCTCAGGTAAATGATGGAGCAGTCCTCCTTGAAGTAGACGCATCTCCAGTACCCGATCGCGATGTTCTCGCGCGACGCAAAGGTACCCTGACGAGTAATATGCATGCCCCCATTTTCCATGGAGAAGAAACGTGCATCGATAGCCATGACCACATATCGGGGATCGCTCCTTTGGCGTCGACCCGAGGTGTGCAGCTCCGTCACGTTGCTGTCGGTGATGCGGTCGACAGTGTCGTTGGGGCACTCTCCGTGATCGCGGAGGGATTGATACTCATCCGGCCGAGAGGGAAGGAGCTCGATCAGAGCTCGCCCACCCCGAATGATCGCCCCACGTTCTACGTAGAGCCGATACATTCGGAGAGGCACCACCTTGTAGAGCGTCTTAGGAACCACCTTGGAGGTGATAGGAAGACAAACAGGGCTCTCGTAGAGCATGTATTGGTATCGTTCACGAAATGCCCGGTAATCAGTGTCGGATCCGATTTCAAGCGACCTTACCGCCGCTATGCGGGCGGAACCAGGCAGCAACCGACGCTCCTTGTCACGAATGACGGTGATGATGATCTCGAACATTCCCACCCCATCCTCGAGAAAGGAAGACAGGAGGTATGAAGAAAAGGCATCCTCGGACTCGACGCTGGTCCCGAAGTAGTGGCTCAGGAACCTCTTCAGTTGTATCACCGAAGTAACGTTCCCTTGCCCGCTGGCAGACGAGGCCTCCAACTCTGGGTCCTTGACTGCACCTGCATTTCCAGGCTGCACAGCTGTTCCACGGAGCGCGTCGCGTATTTCCGCGCATGCTCTCCT